TCCACTGTATTTGTGTCCTCCAGTGAATTTATAGTACCAACTGATGGTGCTGATACTCTAGTTTAATTATGTGGGATAGAAAAAGTTCCTACAATCCCATAAATAGTGCCACCCAATGAAATATAGGGAGCCATTTTGTCCACTTTTAAAGTTCATGATCAGAAAAACATCTGACTGAGTAATAAAGTAATAAAACAGTGGTCATTAGTTACAAGATGCTTTTTAAATCAGCTGCATTTTACTCACATTTCACATTAATAGAGATGTATTCAGATGTCCTCCCCAGCTCAGTTGTACAGTAATACTCTCCAGAGTCAGAGGACCGGATGGACCTGAAGACAAACTGTGGTTCTTTACTGGGAGGTTGAAGGTATTGATTTCCAATCTTCTTGTACCATGTATAAGTAGTTGCTGGGACATATCTGGTACAACTCAGAGTCACTGAACTGCCCTCCACTATCTCACCAGAGGGACTCACTGACACAGTGGCAACCCTCGAGGCATCTGGAGGAAAAACATTAACGCACTGAACATTTAATTTCAAGAAAAAAAAAAAGAATTTGATTTAGTCTCAGAACAGAAACTACATGTCCTGTTACCTTGGATACAGGTTTGACACTTTGCTACTGTCCCAGTCGAGTAAACACAAGGTCAGTGGTTTCATTCATTGTGTGTGTGTGTGTGTGTGTGTGTGTGTGTGTGTGTGTGTGTGTGTGTGTGTGTGTGTGTATTAGCAATGGGGGTTCCACATAAGGAAGGTTATTAGAAAATTCCAACTGGATGTTCCTCATAGGTTTAAAACAAATTGAAACCCTAAAGTACATGAAAATCACAGACATAAAGACCAACAGTTCATCAGTGCTGAAGACAGGAGATCAAGGAAATGATTCTGGTTCAGTGTCTTTGGACACTTCCATGTTTACTGTTGACTTCTAGTCGGTAAATAAGCTAAATGAAAGTATTAAACAATGTAAATCTGTGTCAGATCATTTTTTCACGTGTGACATTTTCTGATCTCATCACTACCACAAGAAACCTTGATTGGACAGATAATGTAACTCTAATCACTTGTAATTCTTCAGAACTTCAAACATCTGACTTCATTCTTTCCACTCATGTTTTTGTGGAGGACCAGAATAAAAAGTGTGAGTTAAAAGCTGGACACAGGAGGTGTTGTGCAACTGAAATTAAGATTTCCAAATAACAAATTTAATAAGAAAACTGAACTAAAGATACAACAGCAGATCATTTCTATGATGCTTAGAAAATGTGTTTGTGATCAAACGAATTTATCAACTCATATGTGATGACAAATCTTGTGTTGATAAATGTTCCATGTGAGCTGTTATTTTACAGATTTATTTTGCAGAAACAGAAAATAGATAATTATACAACATGTCTACAGTCTGTTGGGGCAGTGATTTTATTTGATCCAATTGTGCACTATGAATCATTCAAACACTACTGAGTTACATGTACAAGTACAGTACAAAAGGTTAAAGGCTCCATCAGATGATGTTATGTTAATAGAAGACTGTAAGTAAACTCACACACTGGAGGAGAGGGGAACTTCTCATATCCTTCTGCAGCACAGGAATAGCTGTCTGCAGGATGAACATAGACTGAAAATGAAGATGTTCCTCTCCAAGTCTTCTGTCCATTCTTGTACCAGACGTAATAAAGATGATCAGGTCGACGACAACTGCTGTGACACTTGAGCTCGGCCCAGTCATAATACATGTAGACCTGTGATCTGCTCACCTGCACCTGGAGATCTGAATATGTGAATAAGGAACAGAAGTCTTCGTTTTAGACTGAACTGTCAACATATATACACACACACACACACACACACACACACACACACACACACACACACACACACACACACACACACACACACACACACACACACACACACACACACACACACACACATACAAACACAAGTAACCTTCATAAGATGGTGAACATTTGGAATTAAATCAATAAATATTCAGGTGAAAATGTTACCTGTAACAGACAAAGTGACTCCAGGTGAACCAGTATATTTCCCATTATGTTGGTTTGTTATGAATCTGAACTTGTACTCAGCTGAGTCGCTCTCTCTCAGGTCTGTGATTCTCAGAGTGCAGCTCTTATAATGACAGTTGTACTCCACGCGACCTGAATACTCTGGGTCTGTTCTCAGATCCAAATGTTTTTTAGTAAACCAGAATGTTTTATCAACTGTAATATCATGGTCATTTATTCTGGATGGGTATCTGTAGGTGCAGCTTATGTCCACTGTTGATCCTTTTAAGGCACAGATCTCAGTAGAGGTGTAAGTCACTCCCCAGCCATTCTGACCATGTACCACTGTAACACGGAGCACATTAGGAGCCACAATCACAATTAATAACTTCAGTTAAAAATCAGTTAATGAGACAAAGTGATGATGCACTTAGACAACTGATTTGGTTGACAACTAACCTGGACAAGCTATAAAATCCTCAATTATCAGACCAATTATTGTAATAAACTGTTCCAAATCAGTCATCTATGTAATTAGAACTGAACTGGAATATATCATTTTAACCATTATTACCAGAGTGAACACATTCATAGAAGTATTTGCTCAGTTTTACACAGTCAGTGCAAAGAAAGAGTGGAAGATGTACACATGCTTTCTACAGTTCATCTCTATGTGACTGAGGTAGCACATCATCATCAAGTCTCTCTCTCTCTCTCTCTCTCTCTCTCTCTCTCCATCCCTCTCTCGCTCTCTCTCTCTTTCTGCTATTATTATAATGTTATTTCTAACTTTCCTTTTATGAATTGGCACTAAAGAAATAAAATTTAATTGAATTCAAATTTGAATTATTGAACCTGTTACCTTTAATGCAGTTTACTGACCAGAATAAGAGGATGAATATTAATTATGAGACAGTCTGCTTCTAATTCCCTCTCTGTTCACTCTGGTCATGTTGTTGCTGAGGTAAGTGTGAAAACTAAAAACAAATGCAGAACACTGAGGTGTTAAACTATGTGCAGAAGCTATGATATAAAGATAAGAGAAAAGTCAAACACTGAACACATAGCATGGAAATATCACACTGAGATCGGTATAAAAAAGAAGTAGCAGGGTGTGTCGCAGATGTGTGAAAATAGAAGAGAAGTTCAGAGTCAGTATGTGGTGACATCACTGTGACAAACAGAGCAATAGGTTGCACAGAGTGAGGAGGGAACAGATACTCAAATACCCACAATGCTCTGAGTTTAACATACATAAAAGTGCTCAGCACACAGCTACTTTATGCAAAAGAAGATGGCAAAAGAAATATAAGCTCGTTCTAATATCTGTTACAACTGACACAAAATAAAACATTATTAAAAAACCAAGTAACGTCTGGAGAGTTTACACAAAAAAGTCTTTTATAGAACTTTGACCCACTTCTGGGCGCCCGGTTAGCTCAGTCGGTAGAATCAAATAAAGCCAATAAAAAGCCAAAAAAAGAACTTTGATCCACTTCAATGTGACTTCTAATCATTAAACTGACAGGTTGCTGCTGAGTTAAGTGTGAAAACCATAAATAAATGCAGAACACTGAGTTGTGGGAAACTGTCAACAGCAGCTATGATATGAAGATAAGACAAGAGTCTGAAACTTCTTTCAACACATAGCATGGGAATATCACACTGAGGTCAGACAGTACAAAATGAAAACTAGCAGGGTTTGTTGCAGATGTATGATGATAGAGTGAGTTGAGGGAGTATGTGGTGACTGCACTATGAGACCAATATCCCTTCAAATAAAGGATATGGCAACGTAAAGATGATGTAGAACTATGTACAAAAGGGAAATCACAGAAAGGTTTTCACAGGGTGAACAGTTCTGAATAAAACCCACAATATTCTCAGTGTACAGCATGTAGAAGTGCTTAGCAACCAGCTACTTTATACAAAAAGAGAACAAAAGATGTTGGCAAACACAGTAAAAGATCGTCCTAATATCCATTTCAGTTGAAACAACAACTATATTTAAAAGCTAACACCTGGAAAGTTTCAATAATTGGACACAAATAATGAACTTAATATCTGGAGTGTTTACTTCACATAACTCCGATCCACATTTTCTCAGATTCCCCTCTTTTAATGCAGTGAATGTAACTGTAGATATACAGTACCTGACACAGAGAGAAGGAAGACAACAAATCCACTCGCTGCTGCACTTAAACTCATAGCTGCTCCTCTCATCTCTCTGTGAGGCTTCAGAGACAATAAAACATGTCAGCAGGTAAAATAATAATGTACACAGGAGGTAAACAGTATCAGTCACGTCAATAAACAATTCTACTTACACTGAAGAAGGACGTCGTCTTTAAAGATGTCTTTCCTCTGTGATCTGGAAGCAGCAGACTGATGTCAGGCTGTGAAAAGATGAGCTTTACTTCCTCTTTATTTAATGAATAAACATGAGCCAAACACCAGTAAACACCCACATCACAAGTTGTTGTTGTTTGTTTCAAACTATACACTGAAGAGACAATAAGGAACTAGTGTCATGGCGTGTTGGTACCAAACATGTGTCACTGCAACCTCCCACCGACACAGAAACAGAAACATTTTAATCTCTTCTGCACTGCAGCAGTATGAGATGCAAAACGTAAGTGAGCACACTGTTTATTTTAAGTATTAAGAAATATCAATGATACAGAACTCAGGGTGTCAATCAGATAACATTTGTTTTACAATTACACTTTATAACTCACTCACAGTCACTCTGACCCTGTATCACTGTAACACAGAGCACATCTGACACCACAATCACTTCTTTTGATTCTAAAGATTTACACTGGAGGTGAGACAGAAGATGTCTGTTTGTAATTTGAGTGAACTGACCCTTTAAAGCAGACAGAGGGAGCACTCAGAGTGAGGAAGCCTCAATGTGTCGCACTTAAGCTTCCCCACTAGAGGGCAGTGAAACATCAGAGATACTGAATCAGGACCCAGAAACAACATTTTACAATCCAGCTGTTTTTATTTGAGTTTATCACTCGCAGTTCTACTTTCAATAACTGTGATTGACAGAGACTCTTTCATCACAAACTGATGTTGGATATCACTTTAACTCCTCCTTCTGAACTAAAGCCGAGGCCATATTCACAAAACACCTGCACGCTAAAGTAGCCCCCTAACTGACTGAGTTAGATGAAACTCCTAACCATATGTGTGACATGTGAGTCTTATCTTTAAGAGTAATTCACAAAGTATTTCAGATATAAAATGAGCTCCAAAGCCTGAGAGGTATCACATCTCCTGTTGCAACAACTACTTCAGGTATGTTTTACCACCTGCACGAGGATAGTTGTTAGAGATGAATATATAAAAGATAAAAAGTCTCTGAATATTGAACTTTCATGTATCAGGTGACTGTAAAAAGCATGTTACACAACAATTTAATACATTTAGTCATGAAATAAGACACTGTTCAGAGCTGATCAATGCAGAGTAAAAGAATACACTTTGTCCAAGATATATAATTGTCTCTATGGTATATTCTTGGAGAGGACCATCCTGAGAGATATATTTATATAAAATCAATGGTTACCTGCTTAAATACAAACTTTATAAGGACACATGGAAATATCAGACTATAAATATAATGACTGCTGTGCTCATCAGGTTCTGTTGACTGTGCTGTACAATGCAGCTGGATCCTCTCTAGTTTCCTGACCTCTGGTTCTGAGAAACAAAGAAAGATACAGTATGAAACAATTTAATTCCAATCATATCCCAACAATATAATTTCACAGTAATGTCATTTTAATATAGCAGTGAGGATAATGTTCCTGTGTGAAGAGCTGCTCACCTCGGGGCAGTACTGGCCCTGTTAAAGCTGACAGCAGCGTACTCAATGACTTCTTGTTGCTCCATGTGTCTGAGGGGCCGACCTGCTCTGATGTTGGAGTAGAGAGGATCTGCCTGCTTGGTGGAGAAGTGGACGCTGGCGTACTGAAGGTCCTCCTGCTCCTCCGGCTGTCCCTGATCAGGCAGACAAACTAAATGACTTTCAGGATGTCAAAAGAGCAACATGAAGTCCTTCTCAGTCAGATGAGTTTTCTAGAAGCACTTGAAGACAGTGAGTGACTCAGCAGTATGAATGAACAGCAACCAGAATGGGTTTTCTTTTCTTCTAGAATAATATACGTAACTATTCTCAGCTGTTCCCTGTTGTCTGCTCTCTCTTCAGGATCAGAAGGTTCCTTGGAAGCCCTCTTTTTTCTGGTTAGGAGAATTAAAAAATGATTGAATGTTTTAGTTCTGACAAACTGACTTTCAATGATTTAACAAACTGATTCAGTGAAACAGAACTGCTCACCTGATCCACAGGAAGACAGACAGGGAAATGATAGCCAGGAGAACAACAGTGATTGTTCCAGCAGCTGCTAATTTCCCTCCTGCTCCTGCAAGAGAAAACACAGTTCATTTAGGTGTTACAGCATGTTTGGGCCAAATGGTCACGTAGAGTGATAATGGACAAATCAACCAAAAACACTGTCCAGGTCCATGTGTACATAATACATTCATCCATTTCCTGCTCAACACAGACATACCTGTCAGCCTATGGGCACATGATCAATATTGGATTTTTCAGACTGATACCGATATTGATATTTGATAGTGATAAAATCTAATCATGATATAGCACCTGATGTTTTTCAGAGCTGATATGTGATGTGGACCACACAGCCTTTACTCCAAACTTGCATCAGTGAGCCTCGGCCACCCATGTCTCCAGCTTGTCCTTCCTTGGACCACTTTTGATAGGTACTGACCACTGCGGAGCGGGGACACCCCACAGGAGCTGCCATTTTGGAGATCCTCTGACCCAGTCGTCTAGCCATCACAAATTGTCCCTTGTGAAAGTCGCTCAAATCCTCACACTGCCCATTTTTCTTGCTTCTAACACATCCATGCTATGATAACGAGATAATCAGTGTAATTTACCAGTTACTGGTCATAATCTTATTACTGATTGGTGTATACCCAAACCAATATATACACAATAACTAATAATATAATATGATTCAATATTTCGACTAACGCAATCTATCGTATTTACTGATATTCAGTTTGGTGTACTGACAGAATTGTGGTTGATTTAATACTGGTAACAAGCAGGCCTGGCAAAGGCTTGCATTAATGAAGATTCATCTGTTTTAGTCACACTTGAGATCAAGGTCTAATGAAGCCAAAAGGACAGGATTCAAAGGTCCAACCTGCAGCAGGAACCCCCACAGAAACATCAGGGAACAGGCTGACACAACACATGTAAACCAGATAATTAAATTAATATGAAACCTTCATTTAAAGAGTGCAAACACTCTTCCACACGACGGATGAAATCTGGACTGATTGTTGTTGGTCTGAGAGTCTTCTCTACTCTTCTATCATAGATCAGCTTTTCTAGGAAGGCAGAGCGTCTGACTGCAGTGTAACTGAAACTCACAGTCCTTCCTTCTGTCTCCTATTCAGAGGATGTGACTGTCAGGTTAAGGAGTTTTTCTTCCACCTGTTAACAATGTCCCCAGCTGAGGTCAACTGAGGTTCTTGTCCTTAATAAAACATACAAGCTGATAAATATATATCTTTTTTTTTTTACTTCAGGAAAGGTGAATTATTTTGTTTAAAAAATCATTTTTCACTGTGTAAAACTGTCCCAGTGATTCTTTTGACCTGACATTGAGCAGAAATTATCAAGAACGGTTTGCTACAGATGGATGGTGCATTATATCACATGCTGCTTTATGACTTCTGGTACAGAATGTGTGTAGCTGATACAAAGCTGCAAAAACTCACCTGCTACAACAGTCAGATGTAAGGTGGAGTTATGACATCCTCTTCTGTTCTGGGCTTCACAGTAATAATTCCCACTGTGTTCAGGTCTGACATAAGTGATGGTGAAGTTCTGTCCTGATGCTTTTGGTGAGTCTTCATCCTCCTTGTACCAGGTATAATTAGCTGCTGGGTTAGCATCACTGCTACAGGTCAGAGTCACTGAACTGCCCTCCACTATCTCACCAGAGGGACTCACTGACACAGAGGGAACCCTCGGAGCATCTGGAGGAGAAAACACATAGATGTTTTAACATAAAATTTGCACTAGTTTTCAGAGTGGAACTGAACATTTACATATACAATATAAAGGTTGGATAGCAGACAAAATGCAAGAAGCTAATATTAGTCATGAAGTAGCTGTTGGAGATTGATTTGCTCTTTGGCAACATACATAATAAAAGCAGACGTAGGCTTGGGTAAACATTTGGAACACAGTGGAGTGAAAAAAAGTGTGAAGGAGAAATTGAATATTTATGTCCTTCAAGACTGTTAGAATGTTCCTCTTGTATTTATAAGGGGAAACAGACACACAAATATGTTCGAAATGTGTTATCACCAAAGAGAACATTACATTGAGATTCCTTTTCTGCAGTGAAAGCTTCCTCTATATAGGTGTTCTCCAGTGAATTTATGGTACCAACTGATGATGTTGATACTGTAATTTAACTGCAGATGGTACAAAATGGTCACCCTTCCTACAATCCAAAAATGTTTTAATTTAACAAAATCCAACAAGCATTTTTTGTTCTTCAAAATTTATTTTGATAAACTAATTAATAGTACATATAGATCATGTCAGACAGGGTTGATAACAGGACAGAGGTCTTTGGCCACATTGGATGTTGGATGGATATTTATGTGTGGGAGCATCTGAAACTTTACTGATGGTTTTCTGGATTACTGATGGTTTGAATCCCCTGAACATCCGTACAGATCTGGGAGCCAATCGTAAATAAAACTGCCTTTTCATCATCTACTGTAGCTGCTCAGTGAACTACAGCAGCAGACTGTGAATGTGAAACAGACAGAGCTGAAGAAAGTGCATGATCAGCAAAACATCTGACTGAGTAATAAAGCTTTAAACAGTTGTCATTAGTTACAAGATGCTTTTTAAATCAGCTGCATTTTACTCACATTTCACATTAATAGAGATGTATTTAGATGTCGCAATCCCCAGTTTGTTCTCAGCTGTACAGTTATACTCTCCAGAGTCAGAGGACTGGATGGACCTAAAGACAAGCTGTCGTTCTTTACTGAGAGGTTGAAGGTATCGATTTCCATTCCTCTTGTACCAGGTATAAGTAGCTGCTGGGTTAGCATCACTGCTACAGGTCAGAGTCACTGAACTGCCCTCCACTATCTCACCAGAGGGACTCACTGACACAGAGGGAACCCTCGGAGCATCTGGAGGAGATTTAGAGAGATCCATGTTATTCAGTTGCAATTTAAATTTAAATTTGATTGGTAAAGCGCCAATTCATGAGAAAAGTTATCTCAGGACACTTTCAAAAAGAACAGGTCTAGACCGTACTCCTTATAAAATTATTTACAGAGACCCAACAGTTCCCACCATAAGCAAGGATTTGGCGACAAGGAAAAACGTCCTTTTAAGAGGCAGAAACCGCGGACAGACCAGATCATTCACATCAGATGATGATGTTATGTATTAGGCTGCATGTTAACATATGTCATGTTGTATAGAGGGCAACTTGTTCTTCCATGAAGATTGTCAATAACTGTTCTGTTCCAAAAACACTAACACATAAACCAGGTACACTGTGACTACATGTTATGTGTCCTTTGGGTCAACAGGACAGTAGATTTGTTCTTGTGTTGCACTTACACTGGACATCTACTGATAGAGGAGGTGACATGATCTGTCCATATTGATTCTCAGACTTGCAGTGGTAGATCCCTCTGTCCTCAGAGCTGATGGAGGTGAAATGATGAATACCTTCTGGTCCTTGAAACAGTGTTTGGTTCTTCTTGTACCAGGTATAATTAGCTGCTGGGTTAGCATCACTGCTACAGGTCAGATTCACTGAACTGCCCTCCACTATCTCACCAGAGGGACTCACTGACACAGAGGGAACCCTCGAAGCATCTGCAAAAGATAAAAAGATGAAGATAGCTTTCTTTGCTGCTAAATGTTGTGAAGAATATGAAATGTTTCAGGTGGTGTTACTGGCATGAAGATCATTTCTAGCAGACAGTGTTGATAACAGGACAGAAGTCTTTTTTTAATGCAATGTTTGGGCTTTATTTTGCTTTTAATTGACAGTGACAGCTGAAGATAGACTGGTAAGGGCTATCCAGGAACCCAAAGACAGAAGTCTTTGGCCACAATGGATGTTGGATGGATATTTATGTGTGGGAGCATCTGAAACCTTACTGATGGTTTTCTGGATTGCTGATGGTTTGAATGCCCTAAACATCCGTACAGATCTGGGAGACAATTGTAAATAAAACTGCCTTTTCATCATCTACTGTAGCTGCTCAGTGAACTACAGCAGCAGACTGTGAATGTGAAATAGACAGAGCTGAAGAAAGTGCATGATCAGCAAAACATCTGACTGAATAATAAAGCTTTAAACAGTTGTCATTAGTTACAAGAGGCTTTTTAAATCAGCTGCATTTTACTCACATTTCACATTAATAGAGATGTAGTTATATGTCCTTCCCAGTTTGTTCACAGCTGTACAGTAATACTCTCCAGAGTCAGAGGACTGGATGGACCTGAAGACAAGCTGTGGTTCTTTACTGAGAGGTTGAAGGTATCGATTTCCATTCTTCTTGTACCAGGTATAAGTAGCTGCTGGGTTAGCATCACTGCTACAGGTCAGAGTCACTGAACTGCCCTCCACTATCTCACCAGAGGGACTCACTGACACAGAGGAAACCCTCGGAGCATCTGGAGGAGAAAACATGAACACATTTAATGTTTCATTTTAAGATGAGGTTGCATTTTCACAGTGGAACAGAAATAGACTCTAGTTTATTAAAAAAAAGTTGTGGAGCTTGTGTGTGTTTTAGGCAATGTCACTTCTACACTTCTCACTTCTAAAACTCCAAAAGAAGACTATAATATTCCTCTTACAATTTTAAACATATACAAAAGCAAATTATAGCACATAACTATGATTTTAATGTGTTGTAAATACTGCAGTGACGGCCCTGATTGAGTATTGATGAGCAGAGTTGGATCTATATACTTATTGATATTATATTTAAGGTTGTCATGAGCTCAGGAATCAATAGACTTTATATTTCATTGATGGTTTGACATGTTGACTTTCATACTCAGTGTTGCTGTTACCAATAAGAATATCAAATTGTATTTACTTTTCTGCAGTGAAAGCTTCCTCTGTATTTGGGTCCTCCAGTGAATTTATGATACCAACTGATGGTGCTGATACTCTAGTTTAACTATGTGGGATAGAAAAAGTTCCTACAATCCCATAAATAGTGCCACCCAATGAAATATAGGGAGCCACTTTGTCCGCTTTTAAAGTTCATGATCAGAAAAACATCTGACTGAGTAATAAAGCTTTAAACAGTTGTCATTAGTTACAAGATGCTTTTCAAATCAGCTGCATTTTACTCACATTTCACATTAATAGAGATGTATTCAGATGTCCTCCCCAGCCCAGTTGTACAGTAATACTCTCCAGAGTCAGAGGACTGGATGGACCTGAAGACAAACTGTGGTTCTTTACTGGGAGGTTGAAGGTGTCGATTTCCAATCTTCTTGTACCAGGTATAAGTAGTTGCTGGGACATATCTGGTACAACTCAGAGTCACTGAACTGCCCTCCACTATCTCACCAGAGGGACTTAGTGACACAGTGGCAACCCTCGAGGCATCTGGAGGAAAAACATTAACGCACTGAACATTTCATTTCAAGAAAAAAAAAAGAATTTGATTTAGTCTCAGAACAGAAACTACATGGTGTCCTGTTACCTTGGATACAGGTTTGACACTTTGCTACTGTCCCAGTCGAGTAAACACAAGGTCAGTGGTTTCATTCATTGTGTGTGTGTGTGTGTGTGTGTGTGTGTGTGTGTGTGTGTGTGTGTGTGTGTGTGTGTGTGTGTGTATTAGCAATGGGGGTCCACATAAGGAACGTTATTAGAAAAGTCCAACTGGATGTTCCTCTTAGGTTTAAATCAAATTGAAACCCTAAAGTACATGAAAATCACAGACATAAAGACCAACAGTTCATCAGTGCTGAAGACAGGAGATCAAGGAAATGATTCTGGTTCAGTGTCTTTGGACACTTCCATGTTTACTGTTGACTTCTAGTCGGTAAATAAGCTAAATGAAAGTATTAAACAATGTAAATCTGTGTCAGATCATTTTTTCACGTGTGACATTTTCTGATCTCATCACTCCCACAAGAAACCTTGATTGGACAGATAATGTAACTCTAATCACTTGTAATTCTTCAGAACTTCAAACATCTGACTTCATTCTTTCCACTCATGTTTTTGTGGATGGACCAGAATAAAAAGTGTGAGTTAAAAGCTGGACACAGGAGGTGTTGTGCAACTGAAATTAAGATTGCCAAATAACAAATTTAATAAGAAAACTGAACTAAAGATACAACAGCAGATAATTTCTATGATGCTTAGAAAAAGTGTTTGTGATCAAAAGAATTTATCAACTCAGATGTGATGACAAATCTTGTGTTGATAAATGTTCCATGTGAGCTGTTATTTTACAGATTTATTTTGCAGAAACAGAAAATAGATAATTATACAACATGTCTACAGTCTGTTGGGGCTGTGATTTTATTTTATCCAATTGTGCACTATGAATCATTCAAACACTACTGAGTTACATGAACAAGTACAGTACAAAAGGTTAAAGGCTCCATCAGATGGTGTTATGTTAGTGGAAGACTCTAAGTAAACTCACACACTGGAGGAGAGGGGGACTTCTCATATCCTTCTACAGCACAGGAATAGCTGTCTGCAGGATAAACAGAGACTGAATATGAAGATGTTCCTCTCCAAGTCTTCTGTCCATTCTTGTACCAGACGTAGTGAAGATGATCAGGTCGACGACAACTGCTGTGACACTTGAGCTCGGCCCAGTCATAAGACTCATAGACCTGTGATCTGCTCACCTGCACCTGGAGATCTGAATATGTGACTAAGGAACAGAAGTCTTCATTTTAGATTGAACTGTCAACATACATGCACACACACACACACACACACACACACACACACACACACACACACACACACACACACACACACACACACACACACACACACACACACACACACACACACACACACACACACACACACACACACATACAAACACAAGTAACCTTCATAAGATGGTGAACACTTGGAATTAAATCAATAAATATTCAGATGAAAATGTTACCTGTGACAGACAAAGTGACTCCAGGTGAACCAGTATATTTCCCATTATGTTGGTTTGTTATGAATCTGAACTTGTACTCAGCTGAGTCGCTCTCTCTCAGGTCTGTGATTCTCAGAGTGCAGTCGTTGTTACCACAGATATACTGCACACGACCTGAGTACTCAGAGTCTGTTCTCAGATCCACAAATTCATTTCCATTCATTTTAGTAAACCAGAAACTTTCCTCAACTTCAGTATCATGGTCATTTATCCTCGATGGGTATATGTAGGTGCAGCTTATGTCCACTGTTGATCCTTTTAAGGCACAGATCTCAGTAGAGGTGTAAGTCACTCCCCAGCCATTCTGACTCTGTACCACTGTAACACAGAGCACATTAGGAGCACAATCACAATTAATAACTTAACTAAAAATCAGTTAATGAGACAAAGTGATGATGTTCTTAGCAAAAAACTGATTTGGGTGACAACTAACCTGGACAAGCTATAAAATCCTCAAATATCAGACCAATTATTGTAAGAAACTGTTCCAAATCAGTCATCTATGTCATTAGAACTGAACTGAAATATATCATTTTAACCATTATTACCAGAGTGAACACATTCATAGAGAAGTATTTGCTCAGTTTTACACAGTCAGTGCAAAGAAAGAGTGGAAGATGTACACATGCTTTCTACAGTTCATCTCTATGTGACTGAGTCAGTACATCATCATCAAGTCTCTCTCTCTCTCTCTCTCTCTCTCTCTCTCTCTCTCTATCCATCCCTCTCTCGCTCTCTCTCTCTTTCTGCTATTATTATAATGTTATTTCTAACTTTCCTTTTATGAATTGGCACTAAAGAAATAAAATTTAATCGAATTCAAATTAGAATTATTGAACCTGTTACCTTTAATACAATTTATTGACCAGAATAAGAGGATTAATATTAATTATTAGACAGTCTGCTTCTAATTCCCTCTCTGTTCACTCTGGTCATGTTGCTGCTGAGGTAAGTGTGAAAACTAAAAACAAATGCAGAACACTGAGGTGTTGAAAACTATGTGCAGAAGCTATGATATAAAGATAAGACAAAAGTCAAACACTGAACACCTAGCATGGAAATATCACACTGAGGTCGGTATGAAAAAGAAGTAGCAGGGTGTGTCGCAGATGTGTGAAAATAGAAGAGAAGTTCAGAGTCAGTATGTGGTGACATCACTGTGACAAACAGAGCAATAGGTTGCACAGAGTGAGGAGGGAACAGATACTCAAATACCCACAATGCTCTGAGTTTAACATACATAAAAGTGCTCAGCACACAGCTACTTTATGCAAAAGAAGATGGCAAAAGAAATATAAGCTCGTTCTAATATCTGTTACAACTGACACAAAATAAAACATTATTAAAAAACCAAGTAACGTCTGGAGAGTTTACACAAAAAAGTCTTTCATACAACTTTGACCCACTTCTGGGCGCCCGGTTAGCTCAGTCGGTAGAATCAAATAAAGCCAATAAAAAGTCAAAAAAATAACTTTCATCAACTTCAATGAGACTTCTAATCATTAAACTGACAGGTTGCTGCTGAGTTAAGTGTGAAAACCATAAATAAATGCAGAACACTGAGTTGTGTGAAACTGTCAACAGCAGCTATGATATGAAGATAAGACAAGAGCCTGAAACTTCTTTCAACACATAGCATGGGAATATCACACTGAGGTCAGCCAGTACAAAATGAAAACTAGCAGGGTTTGTTGCAGATGTATGATGATAGAGTGAGTTGAGTGAGTATGTGGTGACTGCACTATGAGACCAATATCCCTCCAAATAAAGGATATGGCAACGTAAAGATGATGTAGAACTATGTACAACAGGGAAATCACAGAAAGGTTTTCACAGGGTGAACAGTTCTGAATAAAACCCACAATATTCTCAGTGTACAGCATATAGAAGTGCTTAGAGACCAGATACTTTATACAAAAAGAGAACAAAAGATGTTGGCAAACACAGTAAAAGATCGTCCTAATATCCATTTCAGTTGAAACAACAACTATATTTAAAAGCTAACACCTGGAAAGTTTCAATAATTGGACACAAATAATGAACTTAAAATATGGAGTGTTTACTTCACATAACTCCGATCCACATTTTCCCAGATTCCCCTCTTTTAATGCAGTGAATGTAACTGTAGATATACAGTACCTGACACAGAGAGAAGGAAGACAACAAATCCACTCGCTGCTGCACTTAAACTCATAGCTGCTCCTCTCATCTCTCTGTGAGGCTTCAGAGACAATAAAACATGTCAGCAGGTAAAATAATAATGTACACAGGAGGTAAACAGTATCAGTCACGTCAATAAACAATTCTACTTACACTGAAGAAGGACGTCGTCTTTAAAGATGTCTTTCCTCTGTGATCTGTAAGCAGAAGACTGATGTCAGGCTGTTTTAGCTTTACTTCCTCTTTACTTAATGAATAAACATGAGCCAAACACCAGTAAACACCCACATCACAAGTTGTTGTTGTTTGTTTCAAACTATACACTGAAGAGACAATAAGGAACTAGTGTCATGGCGTGTTGGTACCAAACATGTTTCACTGCAACCTCCCACTGACACAGAAACAGAAACATTTTAATCTCTTCTGCACTGCAGCAGTATGAGATGCAAAACGTAAGTGAGCACACTGTTTATTTTAAGTATTAAGAAATATCAATGATACAGAACTCAGGGTGTCAATCAGATAACATTTGTTTTACAATTACACTTTATAACTCACTCACAGTCACTCTGACCCTGTATCACTGTAACACAGAGCACATCTGACACCACAATCACTTCTTTTGATTCTAAAGATTTACACTGGAGGTGAGACAGAAGATGTCTGTTTGTAATTTGAGTGAACTGACCCTTTAAAGCAGACAGAGGGAGCACTCAGAGTGATGAAGCCTCAATGTGTCACACTTAAGCTTCCCCACTAGAGGGCAGTGAAACATCAGAGATACTGAATCAGGACCCAGAAACAACATTTTACAATCCAGCTGTTTTTATTTGAGTTTATCACTCGCAGTTCTACTTTCAATAACTGTGATTGACAGAGACTCTTTCATCACAAACTGATGTTGGATATCACTTTAACTCCTCCTTCTGAACTAAAGCCGAGGCCATATTCACAAAACACCTGCACGCTAAAGTAGCCCCTAACTGACTGAGTTAGATGAAACTCCTAACCATATGTGTGACATGTGAGTCCTATCTTTAAGAGTAATTCACAAAGTATTTCAGATATAAAAGGAGCTCCAAAGCCTGAGAGGTATCACATCTCCTGTTGCAACAACTACTTCAGGTATGTTTTACCACCTGCACGAGGAGAGTTGTTAGAGATGAATACATAAAAGATAAAAAGTCTCTGAATATTGAACTTTCATGTATCAGGTGACTGTAAAAAGCATGTTACACAACAATTTAATGCATTTAGTCATGAAATAAGACACTGTTCAGAGTTGATCAATACAGAGTAAAAAATACACTTTGTCCAAGTTATATAATTGTCTCTATGGTATATTCTTGGAGAGGACCATCCTGAGAGATATATTTATATAAAATCAATGGTTACCTGCTTAAATACAAACTTTATAAGGACACATGGAAATATCAGACTATAAATATAATGACTGCTGTGCTCATCAGGTTCTGTTGACTGTGCTGTACAATGCAGCTGGATCCTCTCTAGTTTCCTGACCTCTGGTTCTGAGAAACAAAAAAGACACAGTATGAAACAATATAATTCCAATCATATCCCAACAATATAATTTCACAGTAATGTCATTTTAATATAGCAGTGAGGATAATGTTCCTGTGTGAAGAGCTGCTCACCTCGGGGCAGTACTGGCCCTGTTAAAGCTGACAGCAGCGTACTCAATGACCTCTTGTTGCTCCATGTGTCTGAGGGGCCGAGCTGCTCTGATGTTGGAGTAGAGAGGATCTGCCTGCTTGGTGGAGAAGCGGATGCTGGCGTACTGAAGGTCCTCCTGCTCCTCCGGCTGTCCCTGATCAGGCAGACAAACTAAATGACTTTCAGCTCCACATTTTACATGAGCAGGTCTTTCATTTGAATAGTGCTTTCTTGATGGACTGAAACCAGGAGAGAAAAGGTCAAAGCAACAGCAGATAAAGGAATATACAAGGAAAGCACCAACAGTAGGAAAGCTTCTGGATGTTCTAGGAATTCAGTCACAGTTTCTGGTTAGGAGAATTAAAAAATGATTGAATGTTTTAGTTCTGACAAACTGACTTTCAATGATTTAACAAACTGATTCAGTGAAACAGAACTGCTCACCTGATCCACAGGAAGACAGACAGGGAAATGATAGCCAGGAGAACAACAGTGATTGTTCCAGCAGCTGCTAATTTCCCTCCTGCTCCTGCAAGAGAAAACACAGTTCATTAAGGTGTTACAGCATGTTTGGGCCAAATGGTCCCATAGAGTGATAACTGACAAATCAACCAAAAACACTGTCCAGGTCCATGTGTACATAATACATCCATTAATTTCCTGCTCAACACAGATATACCTGTCAGCCTATGGGCATATGTAGTATAAGCTGATCAATATTGGATTTTTCAGACTGACACCAATATTGATATTTGATAGTGATAAAATCTAATCATGATATAGCACCTGATGTTTTTCAGAGCTGATATGTGACGTGGACCACACAGCCTTCACTCCAAACTTGCATCAGTGAGCCTCGGCCACCCATGTCTCCAGCTTGTCCTTCCTTGGACCACTTTTGATAGGTACTGACCACTGCAGACCGGGGACACCCCACAGGAGCTGCCATTTTAGAGTTCCTCCGACCCAGTCCTCTAGCCATCACAAATTGTCCCTTGTGAAAGTCGCTCAAATCCTCACACTGCCCATTTGTCTTGCTTCTAAAACATCCATGCTATGATAACGAGATAATCAGTGTAATTTACCAGTTACTGGTCATAATCTTATTACTGATTGGTTAATACCCAAAGCAATATATACACAATAACTAATAATATAATATGATTCAATATTTCGACCAATGCAATCTATTGTATTTACTGATTCAGTTTGGTGTACTGACAGAATTGTGGTTGATTTAATACTGGTAACAAGCAGGCCTGGCAAAGGCTTGCATTAATGAAGATTCATCTGTTTTAGTCACACTTGAGATCAAGGTCTAATGAAGCCAAAAGGACAGGATCCAAAGGTCCAACCTGCAGCAGGAACCCCCACAGAAACATCAGGGAACAGGCTGACACAACACATGTAAACCAGATAATTAAATTAATATGAAACCTTCATTTAAAGAGTGCAAACACTCTTCCACACGACGGATGAAATCTGGACTGATTGTTGTTGGTCTGAGAGTCTTCTCTACTCCTCTATCATAGATCAGCTTTTCTAGGAAGGCAGAGTGCCTGACTGCAGTGTAACTGAAACTCACAGTCCTTCCTTCTGTCTCCTATTCAGAGGATGTGACTGTCAGGTTAAGGAGTTTTTCTTCCACCTGTTAACAATGTCCCCAGCTGAGGTCAACTGAGGTTCTTGTCCTTAATAAAACATACAAGCTGATAAATATATGTCTTTTTTTTTTACTTCAGGAAAGGTGAATTATTTTGTTTAAAAAATAATTTTTGACTGTGTAAAACTGTCCCAGTGATTCTTTTGACCTGACATTGAGCAGAAATTGTCAAGAAGGGTTTGATACAGATGGATGGTGCATTATATCACATGCTGCTTTATGACTTCTGGTACAGAATGTGTGTAGCTGATACAAAGCTGCAAAAACTTACCTGCAACAACAATCAGATGTAAGGTGGAGTTATGGCGTCCTCTTCTGTTCTGGGCTTCACAGTAATAATTCCCTCTGTGTTCAGGTCTGAAGTCAGTGATGGTGAAGATCTGTCCTGATGCTTTTGGTGGGACTTCATTCTCTTTGTACCAGGTATAATTAGCTGCTGGGTTAGCATCACTGCTACAGGTCAGATTCACTGAACTGCCCTCCACTATCTCACCAGAGGGACTCACTGACACAGAGGGAAGCTTTGGAACATCTGGAGGAGATTTAGAGAGATCCATGTCAGTAACATCAGATAATAATGTATGTATTAAATGTCTTGGCTATGTCACATGTTTCATTTTGTATGGAGGGCATGTATTTTGTCCTTAGCCTTTTCTAGAGATACCATTGTCTGTCTGTCAACAACTAAAGACCACAGTTAACACAGTCAGCACTTTGGTCAACTCTGGTTGTTTTAAATGTGCTATATGAATAAACTTGATTTGATTATTTGATTTGAACAGTAAATTCACATTACTTGTTTGGAGATTGTCAATAATTCTGTGCATAAAACATTAAGATGTGATCCAGGTACACTGTTGCTACATGACATATGCCCCTTACTGCTGGGCCACCAGGACAGCAGATTTGATCTTGTGTTGCACTTACACTGGACATCTACTGATAGAGGCGATGACATGATCTGTCCATATTGATTCTCAGACTTGCAGTGGTAGATCCCTCTGTCCTCAGAGCTGATGGAGGTGAAATGATGAATACCTTCTGTTCCTTGAAACAGTGTTTGGTTCTTCTTGTACCAGGTATAATTAGCTGCTGGGTTAGCATCACTGCTACAGGTCAGATTCACTGAACTGCCCTCCACTATCTCACCAGAGGGACTCACTGACACAGAGGGAGGCTTTGGACCATCTGCAAAAGATAAAAAGATGAAGATAGCTTTCTTTGGTGCTACATGTTGTGAAGAATATGAAATGTTTCAGGTGGTGTTACTGGCATGAAGATCATTTCTAGCAGACAGTGTTGATAACAGGACAGAAGTCTTTTTTTAATGTAATGTTTGGGCTTTTTTTTTGCTTATAATTGACAGTGACAGCTGAAGATAGACTGGTAAGGCAGTCCTTCCAGAAAAGTTTTTTTGTGATTGTTGCAAAAATCCTTGATTATGCGGCACGTTTTCTTAAAAAATGCGATATTTATGCAATTTTATGCGATGAAATTGCGAGAACTTGCAAAAATTGCAAGAAAGTGCTGGGAATATTTAAGTTCTCATCTTGTTTTATTTCAGACCTTAATAAACAAATGGCTCAAACTTAGAAGACATTGATGAGTCAAACTAGTTCTGTAGCTTTACAAAAGGAATATGCTACAACTTCTGTTAAAATGAATAAATAAAATATAAAAAAATAAAATGTGTGCTTCCTGTTTTACAGAGATAGCTATACAAAACAGACATCTTCTGTTAAAATAAGTGCTTCCAATGCACAAAGTGCAATCTCTTACTGTAACGTAAATTTACATACTACTAATAGTATACCTATACTTACAATACTGTAAGGTTTTCATCGCGGGGTTTACAGCTTTCCGATGATGTTCACGTCGCGTAATTACGTCACTTGATAACGTTCCCATGGCAACAGGGGAAAATAACTGCTCTTGAGTGAAGTAAACGCAACATATTTCAACTTTCTGCTAAGATATATGAGACATTTTTGCAACGGAAATGCATGGATTATGAAATCATGCAAGCCCAGCATATTTTGCACAGAAATCTGCAATTTATACAGCGAAAGTGCGGCGTATTTGAAAAAAATGTGGCCCCCTGCATAAATATGCAGACTTGAAATATGCTGATTATGCATTGAATTATACGATCGCATAATCGCGTTTTTCTGGAGGGACTGGTAAGGGCTATCCAGGAACCCAAAGACAGAAGTCTTTGGCCACATTGGATGTTGGATGGATATTTATGTGTGGGAGCATCTGAAACTTTACTGATGGTTTTCTGGATTGCTGATGGTTTGAATCCCCTGAACATCCGTACAGATCTGGGAGACAATTGTAAATAAAACTGCCTTTTCATCATCTACTGTAGCTGCTCAGTGAACTACAGCAGCAGACTGTGAATGTGAAACAGACAGAGCTGAAGAAAGTGCATGATCAGCAAAACATCTGACTGAGTAATAAAGCTTCAAACAGTTGTCATTAGTTACAAGATGCTTTTTAAATCAGCTGCATTTTACTCACATTTCACATTAATAGAGATGTAGTTAGATGTCTTCTTTCCCAGTTTGTTCTCAGCTGTACAGTAATACTCTCCAGAGTCAGAGGACTGGATGGACCTGAAGACAAGCTGTGGTTCTTTACTGAGAGGTTGAAGGTCTGGATTTCCATTCTCTTTGTACCAGGTATAAGAACTTGTTGGGTTAGCATCACTGCTACAGGTCAGATTCACTGAACTGCCCTCCACTATCTCACCAGAGGGACTCACTGACACAGAGGGAACCCTTGGAGCATCTGGAGGAGAAAACACAAACATGTTTTAACTTTAAGATGCAGACGAGTTTTCACAGTGGAACTGGACATTTATAACAATATAAATGCTGAACAACAGATGAGAGAAGAAGCTTTCTGCTACATTTGGATTTCTGCAACATTAAACATGCAAATAACAACAAGAGAAAAGAAATGTCAATCAGAAGTATTGATGTAAGTGTATTCTATAAGACAACAGAACAGTGTAACTTTTGTCCTCTGCTCAGTGTATTTTTAAATTAAAACTGATGTATTTTAAAATGTAATCCTGCTAATTATCCTCATTTTTACTAAATGTAACTGTAATGATTAAATTGACCTTTTCTGTATCATGATTACGTGATTCAGTTACATGCAGACTGTAAGTAAACTCACACACTGGAGGAGAGGGGAACTTCTCATATCCTTCTACAGCACAGGAATAGCTGTCTGTAGGATAAACATAGACTGAAAATGAAGATGTTCTTCTCCAAATCTTCTGTCCATTCTTGTACCAGACGTAGTGAAGATGATCAGGTAGACGACAACTGCTGTGACACTTCAGATCTACCCAGTTATAAGACTCGTAGACCAATAATCTGCTCACCTGCACCTGGAGATCTGAATATGTGAATAAGGAACAGAAGTCTTCATTTTAGACTGAACTGTCAACATACACACACACACACACATACACACACACACACACACAAGTTACCTTCATAAGATGTTGAATACTTGGAATTAATCAATATTCAGATGAAAATGTTACCTGTAACAGACAAAGTGACTCCAGGTGAACCAGTATATTTCCCTGTTGAAAGGTTTGTTATGAATCTGAACTTGTACTCAGCTGAGTCGCTCTCTCTCAGGTCTGTGATTCTCAGAGTGCAGTTCTTATAATGACAGCTGTACTCCACGCGACCTGAATACTCGGAGTCTGTTCTCAGATCCACAAATTCATTTCCATTCATTTTAGTGAACCAAATTTCTTTCTCAACTTCAGTATCATGGTCATTTATCCTGGATGGGTATCCGTAGGTGCAACTTATGTCCACTGTTGATCCTTTTAAGGCACAGATCTCAGTAGAGGTGTAAGTCACTCCCCAGACATCCTGTCCCGGTACCACTGTAACACAGAGCACATCAGGGCACACGATCAAAATCAACAATCAGTTTATAAGAAGAAGATCATAAGATTAATATGATTTGGGGAAAAAGAAACCTGGAAAAGCTTCCAAATCCTCAATTTTTTGATTAATTATTGTAATAACCCGTTCCTAATCAGGCATCTATCTAATTAGAACTGAACTGGAATATATAGTTTTAGCAATTATGGAGCTAAAACTATGCTATATATGATATATGCTGATACACACATGACACGCCTCACTCCATAATCACTAACCAAGCGCACCCTTCCAATCTGGTGGTCTATTTAAACCGCACAATTTCCCAGCTCTCCCTCTGCTCTGTCAGTGTTGCTGTTGCCCTGCATTCGTATTGCTGCCTGCTCACTCCCCAATATCTCTATATAAACATATCTGCAGGGAATGATGAGGTCGGAGCCTAGACGCCAAAATCTAAATATGCTATACTGCTGTGATAAACATTTCAAACGTGAGTTGTCTGACTGAAATTACCAGAGTAAACACATTCATGGAGAAATATTTGCTCAGTTTTACACAGTCAAAGAAAGAGTGGAAAATGGAAATGAAATCTACAGTTCATCTGTAGAAAGCATGTGTACATTTTCCACTCTATGATAAAAGTCAAGAACTGTAGTGAACACATAGCATGGAAATATCACACTGAGGTCGGTACAAAAAAGAACTGGCAGATGTGTGAACAAGGAAGAGAAGAAACAGAGCAATAGGTTTGCACAGAGTGAGGAGGGAACAGATACTCAAATACCCACAATACTCTGAGTTTAACATACATAAAAGTGCTCAGCACACAGCTACTTTATGCAAAAGAAGATGGCAAAAGAAATATAAGCTCGTTCTAATATCTGTTACAACTGACACAAAATAAAACATTATTAAAAAACAAAGTAACATCTGGAGAGTTTACACAATTGTTCACAAAAAGTCTTTCATACAACTTTGACCCACTTCTGGGCGCCCGGTTAGCTCAGTCGGTAGAATCAAATAAAGCCAATAAAAAGTAAAAAAATAACTTTAAAAAAAATATAAAAACTTCGATCCACTTCAATGTGTCTTCTAATCATTAAACTGACAGGTTGCTGCTGAGTTAAGTGTGAAAACCATAAATAAATGCAGAACACTGAGTTGTGTGAAACTGTCAACAGCAGCTATGATATGAAGATAAGACAAGAGTCTGAAACTTCTTTCAACACATAGCATGGGAATATCACACTGAGGTCAGACAGTACAAAATGAAAACTAGCAGGGTTTGTTGCAGATGTATGATGATAGAGTGAGTTGAGGGAGTATGTGGTGACTGCACTATGAGACCAATATCCCTCCAAATAAAGGATATGGCAACGTAAAGATGATGTAGAACTATGTACAAAAGGGAAATCACAGAAAGGTTTTCACAGGGTGAACAGTTCTGAATAAAACCCACAATATTCTCAGTGTACAGCATATAGAAGTGCTTAGAGACCAGATACTTTATACAAAAAGAGAACAAAAGATGTTGGCAAACACAGTAAAAGATCATCCTAATATCCATTTCAGTTGAAACAACAACTATATTTAAAAGCTAACACCTGGAAAGTTTCAATAATTGGACACAAATAATGAACTTAATATCTGGAGTGTTTACTTCACATAACTCCGATCCACATTTTCTCAGATTCCCCTCTTTTAATGCAGTGAATGTAACTGTAGATATACAGTACCTGACACAGAGAGAAGGAAGACAACAAATCCACTCGCTGCTGCACTTAAACTCATAGCTGCTCCTCTCATCTCTCTGTGAGGCTTCAGAGACAATAAAACATGTCAGCAGGTAAAATAATAATGTACACAGGAGGTAAACAGTATCAGTCACATCAATAAACAGTTCTACTTACACTGAAGAAGGACGTCGTCTTTAAAGGTGTCTTTCCTCTGTGATCTGTAAGCAGAAGACTGATGTCAGGCTGTTAAAAGACAAGATTTACTTCCTCTTTATTTAATGAATAAACATGAGCCAAACACCAGTAACCACCCACATCACAAGTTGTGGTTGTTTGTTTCAAACTATACACTGAAGAGACAATAAGGAACTAGTGTCATGGCGTGTTGGTACCAAACATGTTTCACTGCAACCTCCCACTGACACAGAAACAGAAACATTTTAATCTCTTCTGCACTGCAGCAGTATGAGATGCAAAACGTGAGTGAGCACACTGTTTATTTTAAGTATTAAGAAATATCAATGATACAGAACTCAGGGTGTCAATCAGATAACATTTGTTTTACAATTACACTTTATAACTCACTCACAGTCACTCTGACCCTGTATCACTGTAACACAGAGCACATCTGACACCACAATCACTTCTTTGATTCTAAAGATTTACACTGGAGGTGAGACAGAAGATGTCTGTTTGTAATTTGAGTGAACTGACCCTTTAAAGCAGACTGAGGGAGCACTCAGAGTGAGGAAGCCTCAATGGGTCGCACTTAAGCTTCCCCACTAGAGGGCAGTGAAACATCAGAGATACTGAATCAGGACCCAGAAACAACATTTTACAATCCAGCTGTTTTTATTTGAGTTTATCACTCACAGTTCTACTTTCAATAACTGTGATTGACAGAGACTCTTTCATCACAAACTGATGTTGGATATCACTTTAACTCCTCCTTCTGAACTAAAGCCGAGGCCATATTCACAAAACACCTGCACGCTAAAGTAGCCCCTAACTGACTGAGTTAGATGAAACTCCTAACAATATGTGTGACATGTGAGTCCTATCTTTAAGAGTAATTCACAAAGTATTTCAGATATAAAATGAGCTCCAAAGCCTGAGAGGTATCACATCTCCTGTTGCAACAACTACTTCAGGTATGTTTTACCACCTGCACGAGGATAGTTGTTAGAGATGAATATATAAAAGATAAAAAAGTCTCTGAATATTGAACTTTCATGTATCCGGTGGCTGTAAAAAGCATGTTACACAACAATTTAATGCATTTAGTCATGAAATAAGACACTGTTCAGAGCTGATCAATGCAGAGTAAAAAAATACACTTTGTCCAAGATATATAATTGTCTCTATGGTATATTCTTGGAGAGGACCATCCTGAGAGATATATTTATATAAAATCAATGGTTACCTGCTTAAATACAAACTTTATAAGGACACATGGAAATATCAGACTATAAATATAATGACTGCTGTGCTCATCAGGTTCTGTTGACTGTGCTGTACAATGCAGCTGGATCCTCTCTAGTTTCCTGACCTCTGGTTCTGAGAAACAAAGAAAGATACAGTATGAAACAATATAATTCCAATCATATCCCAACAATATAATTTCACAGTAATGTCATTTTAATATAGCAGTGAGGATAATGTTCCTGTGTGAAGAGCTGCTCACCTCGGGGCAGTACTGGCCCTGTTAAAGCTGACAGCAGCGTACTCAATGACCTCTTGTTGCTCCATGTGTCTGAGGGCCGAGCTGCTCTGATGTTGGAGTAGAGAGGATCTGCCTGCTTGGTGGAGAAGCGGATGCTGGCGTACTGAAGGTCCTCCTGCTCCTCCGGCTGTCCCTGATCAGGCAGACAAACTAAATGACTTTCAGCTCCACATTTTACATGAGCAGGTCTTTCATTTGAATAGTGCTTTCTTGATGGACTGAAACCAGGAGAGAAAAGGTCAAAGCAACAGCAGATAAAGGAATATACAAGGAAAGCACCAACAGTAGGAAAGCTTCTGGATGTTCTAGGAATTCAGTCACATCCAAGACAAGAGGAGAATCAGAGAGTGATAGAAATTAATTTCTGTGAAGAGGGATGTCAAAAGAGCAACATGAAGTCCTTCTCAGTCAGATGAGTTTTCTAGAAGCACTTGAAGACAGTGAGTGACTCAGCAGTATGAATGAACAGCAACCAGAATGGGTTTTCTTTTCTTCTAGAATAATATACGTAACTATTCTCAGCTGTTCCCTGTTGTCTGCTCTCTCTTCAGGATCAGAAGGTTCCTTGGAAGCCCTCTTTTTTCTGGTTAGGAGAATTAAAAAATGATTGAATGTTTTAGTTCTGACAAACTGACTTTCAATGATTTAACAAACTGATTCAGTGAAACAGAACTGCTCACCTGATCCACAGGAAGACAGACAGGGAAATGATAGCCAGGAGAACAACAGTGATTGTTCCAGCAGCTGCTAATTTCCCTCCTGCTCCTGCAAGAGAAAACACAGTTCATTAAGGTGTTACAGCATGTTTGGGCCAAACGGTCCCATAGAGTGATAACTGACAAAACAACAAAAACACTGTCCAGGTCCATGTGTACATATTACATCCATTCATTTTCTACAGGTGGAATATCTGTCAGTGCAGCATATCCTGATCAATACTGGATCTTTTAAGCCCAAAAAATAAACTTCTCCGTACTCAGCAGTGGACAAAAAATGTAATGGAAGTTTTTTAATTACGTCTGACATATTTTTCTTACTTATTGGTGCAATATATACACCCAAACCAATCAGCAATAGGCTGATTTGATTCAATATATAGACAGACAATTAATCACTCCAAAGCTCACCTTCTCCAGGTGACCTGAAACATCTCAACTTTCTTTGCTGTAGCTCGATATTTAGACACAATCTATGTGAGATTCCCTGTGTTTTGCCGGTTGGGGGGAAGTCACAGACAATTCAGGTAAACCCTTGTTAATTAATGGCCTGATTTACCGTCTAAATATGTGTGTGTGAAGGACTTCTTCCACTCAAATTGCCACTGCTGCTTTTCCTTGTGTAAGCTATCGTTCACACCATGTCTGCGTTGCTTGTGCATGGCAGAACATCTTGATTTTTATTTTGGTGCCCATGTTAACAGATTAGAGCGGTCACACTGCTGCAGACACAGCTGAGACATGAGTGAGGACACTTCACCAGAGAGTGAAGGTCTCCTCTTTTTACCACAAGCTGCACGTGTCTGCCAGCAAAAGAGGAAAGTGAAAAGGATCTGTTGGTAGTCACAGCCACATTTTTCAGTACAGTTTAAACTTCCCTTTCAAAGTAAAAGCACTGTAGTAATCTTTTATTTTTAACATGACTTCTACGGTTGAAGGGCAGTATCTTTCCACTGCGCTCTCTCGGGTTAACAACCCACATGTGACTGCTTTCTGGTTACCACTCTTCACATTTATGTTTAGTTCCTTGCTCAGGGTGTTTTAAGTGCAATATTGTAAAGGTTGTTTGCAGCAGTGTTTGTCCAGGGTCTATTGAATCACAAGTGGGTATATATTTGCCTTGTGAACTCTGCTTTCCCTATCCTTGTGTGCTTTTGGTTGTTTGTTTATAGTTTAGTTTTTTCCTTTTTGTCTTTTTGTCGTGTCCGAGGGCTTAGAGTTTACGGCGCTTGTGAACATTTACCTCGGCTGCATTTAGCTGCAGCCCCTCCCCTGAGATAGGATTTCCCTGTCACTTCGTTATAGATGCTTTAATCTTGTTGAGCCTGGTGAAATCCCTGATTAAACAACATTTATTTTCATACACCTTAGTTTCTAACTATGTATTTATATATTTTACGATATTTCATCAAAATAGTTCATTTAAAGAACTTCGTTAAAAATTAAGAATGTTATATATTTCTAAATCTACCTTGATATTAGTTTGTGAAATCCTCTGGTAGAAGAGGTGCAATAGGTGGAATAGTACGACAACTCTTACTTTATATTCTTTAAGTCCTAAGGTGGCATTATCTGTACCTATAATAAATTCTGGTAGACTCTCGTAGGACCTTACCTGGTTAGATATAGATGGATGATGCATTATATAACATGCTGTTTTATGACTTCTGGTACAGAATGTGTGTAGCTGAATGCAAAAACTTACCTGCTACAACAATCAGATGTAAGGTGGAGTTATGGCGTCCTCTTCTGTTCTGGGCTTCACAGTAATAATTCCCACTGTGTTCAGGTCGGATGGTGAAGATCTGTCCTGATGCTTTTGGTAAGTCTTCATTCTCCTTGTACCAGGTATAATTAGCTGCTGGGTTAGCATCACTGCTACAGGTCAGAGTCACTGAACTGCCTTCCACTATCTCACCAGAGGGACTCACTGACACAGAGGGAACCCTCGGAGCATCTGGAGGAGATTTAGAGAGATCCATGTTATTCAGTTGCAATTTAAATTTAAATTTGATTGGTAAAGCGCCAATTCATGAGAAAAGTTTTCTCAGGACACTTTCAAAAAGAACAGGTCTAGACCGTACTCCTTATAAAATTATTTACAGAGACCCAACAGTTCCCACCATAAGCAAGGATTTGGCGACAAGGAAAAACGTCCTTTTAAGAGGCAGAAACCGCGGACAGACCAGATCATTCACATCAGATGATGATGTTATGTATTAGGCTGCATGTTAACATATGTCATGTTGTATAGAGGGCAACTTGTTCTTCCATGAAGATTGTCAATAACTGTTCTGTTCCAAAAACACTAACACATAAACCAGGTACACTGTGACTACATGTTATGTGTCCTTTGGGTCAACAGGAGAGCAGATTTGTTCTTGTGTTGCACTTACACTGGACATCTACTGATAGAGGAGGTGACATGATCTGTCCATATTGATTCTCAGAGCTGCAGTGGTAGATCCCTCTGTCCTCAGAGCTGATGGAGGTGAAATGATGAATACCTTCTGTTCCTTGAAACAGTGTTTGGTTCTCCTTGTACCAGGTATAATTAGCTGCTGGGTTAGCATCACTGCTACAGGTCAGATTCACTGAACTGCCCTCCACTATCTCACCAGAGGGACTCACTGACACAGAGGGAACCCTCGGAGCATCTGCAAAAGATAAAAAGATGAAGATAGCTTTCTTTGGTGCTACATGTTGTGAAGAATATGAAATGTTTCAGGTGGTGTTACTGGCATGAAGATCATTTCTAGCAGACAGTGTTGATAACAGGACAGAAGTCTTTTTTAATGTAATGTTTGTGCTTTTTTTTTGCTTATAATTGACAGTGACAGCTGAAGATAGACTGGTAAGGCAGTCCTTCCAGAAAAGTTTTTTTGTGATTGTTGCGGGGGAAAATCCTTGATTATGCGGCACGTTTTCTTAAAAAAATGCGATATTTATGCAATTTTATGCGATAAAATTGCGGGAACTTGCAAAAATTGCAAGAAAGTGCTGGGAATATTTAAGTTCTCATCTTGTTTTATTTCAGACCTTAATAAACAAATGGCTCAAACTTAGAAGACATTGATGAGTCAAACTAGTTCTGTAGCTTTACAAAAGGAATATGCTACAACTTCTGTTAAAATGAATAAATAAAATATAAAAAAATAAAATGTGTGCTTCCTGTTTTACAGAGATAGCTATACAAAACAGACATCTTCTGTTAAAATAAGTGCTTCCAATGCACAAAGTGCAATCTCTTACTGTAACGTAAATTTACATACTACTAATAGTATACCTATACTTACAATACTGTAAGGTTTTCATCGCGGGGTTTACAGCTTTTCGATGATGTTCACGTCGCGTAATTACGTCACTTGATAACGTTCCCATGGCAACAGGGGAAAATAACTGCTCTTGAGTGAAGTAAACGCAACATATTTCAACTTTCTGCTAAGATATATGAGACATTTTTGCAACGGAAATGCATGGATTATGAAATCATGCAAGCCCCGCATATTTTGCGCAGAAATCTGCAATTTATACAGCGAAGGTGCAGCGTATTTGAAAAAAATGTGGCCCCTGCATAAATATGCAGACTTGAAATATGCTGATTATGCATTGAATTATACGATCGCATAATCGCGTTTTTCTGGAGGGACTGGTAAGGGCTATCCAGGAACCCAAAGACAGAAGTCTTTGGCCACATTGGATGTTGGATGGATATTTATGTGTGGGAGCATCTGAAACTTTACTGATGGTTTTCTGGATTGCTGATGGTTTGAATCCCTGAACATCCGTACAGATCTGGGAGACAATTGTAAATAAAACTGCCTTTTCATCATCTACTGTAGCTGCTCAGTGAACTACAGCAGCAGACTGTGAATGTGAAACAGACAGAGCTGAAGAAAGTGCATGATCAGCAAAACATCTGACTGAGTAATAAAGCTTTAAACAGTTGTCATTAGTTACAAGATGCTTTTTAAATCAGCTGCATTTTACTCACATTTCACATTAATAGAGATGTGTGTAGATGTCTTCTTTCCCAGTTTGTTCTCAGCTGTACAGTAATACTCTCCAGAGTCAGAGGACTGGATGGACCTGAGGACAAGCTGTGGTTCTTTACTGAGAGGTTGAAGGTATCGCTTTCCATTCTCTTTGTACCAGGTATAAGAAGCTGCTGGGTTAGCATCACTGCTACAGGTCAGAGTCACTGAACTGCCCTCCACTATCTCACCAGAGGGACTCACTGACACAGAGGGAAGCTTTGGAACATCTGGAGGAGAAAACACAAACATGTTTTAACTTTAAGATGCAGACGAGTTTTCACAGTGGAACTGGACATTTATAACAATATAAATGCTGAACAACAGATGAGAGAAGAAGCTTTCTGCTACATTTGGATTTCTGCAACATTAAACATGCAAATAACAACAAGAGAAAAGAAATGTCAATCAGAAGTATTGATGTAAGTGTATTCTATAAGACAACAGAACAGTGTAACTTTTGTCCTCTGCTCAGTGTATTTTTAAATTAAAACTGATGTATTTTAAAATGTAATCCTGCTAATTATCCTCATTTTTACTAAATGTAACTGTAATGATTAAATTGACCTTTTCTGTATCATGATTACGTGATTCAGTTACATGCAGACTGTAACTGTAAACTCACACACTGGAGGAGAGGGGAACTTCTCATATCCTTCTACAGCACAGGAATAACTGTCTGTAGGATAAACAGAGACTGAAAATGAAGATGTTCTTCTCCAAGTCTTCTGTCCATTCTTGTACCAGACGTAGTGAAGATGATCAGGTAGACGACAACTGCTGTGACACTTCAGATCTACCCAGTTATAAGACTCGTAGACCAATAATCTGCTCACCTGCAGCTGGAGATCTGAATATGTGAATAAGGAACAGAAGTCTTCATTTTAGACTGAACTGTCAACATACACACACAAACACACAAACACACACACACACACACAAGTTACCTTCATAAGATGTTGAATACTTGGAATTAATCAATATTCAGATGAAAATGTTACCTGTAACAGACAAAGTGACTCAGGTAAACCAGTATATTTCCCTGTTGAAAGGTTTGTTATGAATCTGAACTTGTACTCAGCTGAGTCGCTCTCTCTCAGGTCTGTGATTCTCAGAGTGCAGCTCTTATAATGACAGCTGTACTCCACGCGACCTGAATACTCGGAGTCTGTTCTCAGATCCACAAATTCATTTCCATTCATTTTAGTGAACCAAATTTTTTTCTCAACTTTGGTATCATGGTAATTTATGCTGGATGGGTATCTGTAGGTGCAGCTTATGTCCACTGTTGATCCTTTTAAGGCACAGATCTCAGTAGAGGTGTAAGTCACTCTCCAGCCATTCTGACCATGTACCACTGTAACACAGAGCACATCAGGGCACACGATCAAAATCAACAATCAGTTTATAAGAAGAAGATCATAAGATTAATATGATTTGGGGAAAAAGAAACCTGGAAAAGCTTCCAAATCCTCAATTTTTTGATTAATTATTGTAATAACCCGTTCCTAATCAGGCATCTATCTAATTAGAACTGAACTGGAATATATAGTTTTAGCAATTATGGAGCTAAAACTATGCTATATATGATATATGCTGATACACACATGACACGCCTCACTCCATAATCACTAACCAAGCGCACCCTTCCAATCTGGTGGTCTATTTAAACCGCACAATTTCCCAGCTCTCCCTCTGCTCTGTCAGTGTTGCTGTTGCCCTGCATTCGTATTGCTGCCTGCTCACTCCCCAATATCTCTATATAAACATATCTGCAGGGAATGATGAGGTCGGAGCCTAGACGCCAAAATCTAAATATGCTATACTGCTGTGATAAACATTTCAAACGTGAGTTGTCTGACTGAAATTACCAGAGTAAACACATTCATGGAGAAATATTTGCTCAGTTTTACACAGTCAAAGAAAGAGTGGAAAATGGAAATGAAATCTACAGTTCATCTGTAGAAAGCATGTGTACATTTTCCACTCTATGATAAGAGTCAAGAACTGTAGTGAACACATAGCATGGAAATATCACACTGAGGTCGGTACAAAAAAGAACTGGCAGATGTGTGAACAAGGAAGAGAAGAAACAGAGCAATAGGTTTGCACAGAGTGAGGAGGGAACAGATACTCAAATACCTACAATACTCTGAGTTTAACATACATAAAAGTGCTCAGCACACAGCTACTTTATGCAAAAGAAGATGGCAAAAGAAATATAAGCTCGTTCTAATATCTGTTACAACTGACACAAAATAAAACATTATTAAAAAACAAAGTAACATCTGGAGAGTTTACACAATTGTTCACAAAAAGTCTTTCATACAACTTTGACCCACTTCTGGGCGCCCGGTTAGCTCAGTCGGTAGAATCAAATAAAGCCAATAAAAAGTAAAAAAAAGAACTTTAAAAAAAAAAAAAAAGTCATCAACTTCAATGTGACTTCTAATCATTAAACTGACAGGTTGCTGCTGAGTTAAGTGTGAAAACCATAAATAAATGCAGAACACTGAGTTGTGGGAAGCTGTCAACAGCAGCTATGATATGAAGATAAGACAAGAGCCTGAAACTTCTTTCAACACATAGCATGGGAATATCACACTGAGGTCAGCCAGTACAAAATGAAAACTAGCAGGGTTAGTTGCAGATGTATGATGATAGAGTGAGTTGAGTGAGTATGTGGTGACTGCACTATGAGACCAATATCCCTCCAAATAAAGGATATGAGAACATTAAGATGATGTAAAACTATGTACAACAGGGAAATCACAGAAAGGTTTCACAGGGTGAACAATTCTGAATAAAACCCACAATATTCTCAGTGTACAGCATGTAGAAGTGCTTAGCAACCAGCTACTTTATACAAAAAGAGAACAAAAGATGTTGGCAAACACAGTAAAAGATCGTCCTAATATCCATTTCAGTTGAAACAAAAACTATATTTAAAAGCTAACACCTGGAAAGTTTCAATAATTGGACACAAATAATGAACTTAATATCTGAAGTGTTTACTTCACATAACTCCGATCCACATTTTCCCAGATTCCCCTCTTTTAATGCAGTGAATGTAACTGTAGATATACAGTACCTGACACAGAGAGAAGGAAGACAACAAATCCACTCGCTGCTGCACTTAAACTCATAGCTGCTCCTCTCATCTCTCTGTGAGGCTTCAGAGACAATAAAACATGTCAGCAGGTAAAATAATAATGTACACAGGAGGTAAACAGTATCAGTCACATCAATAAACAGTTCTACTTACACTGAAGAAGGACGTCGTCTTTAAACATGTCTTTCCTCTGTGATCTGGAAGCAGAAGACGGATGTCAGACTGTTAAAAGACTACCTTTACTTCCTCTTTTTATTAACATACTTCCTCTTTATTTAATGAATAAACATGAGCCAATTACCAGCAACCACTCACATCACAAGTTGTGGTTGTTTGTTTCAAACTATACACTGAAGAGACAATAAGGAACTAGTGTCATGGCGTGTTGGTACCAAACATGTTTCACTGCAACCTCCCACTGACACAGAAACAGAAACATTTTAATCTCTTCTGCACTGCAGCAGTATGAGATGCAAAACGTGACTGAGCACACTGTTTATTTTAAGTATTAAGAAATATCAATGATACAGAACTCAGGGTGTCAATCAGATAACATTTGTTTTACAATTACACTTTGTAACTCACTCACAGTCATTCTGACCCTGTATCACTGTAACACAGAGCACATCTGACACCACAATCACTTCTTTTGATTCTAAAGATTTACACTGGAGGTGAGACAGAAGATGTCTGTTTGTAATTTGAGTGAACTGACCCTTTAAAGCAGACAGAGGGGGCACTCAGAGTGATGACGCCTCAATGTGTCACACTTAAGCTTCCCCACTAGACGGCAGTGAAACATCAGAGATACTGAATCAGGACCCAGAAACAACATTTTACAATCCAGCTGTTTTTATTTGAGTTTATCACTCGCAGTTCTACTTTCAATAACTGTGATTGACAGAGACTCTTTCATCACAAACTGATGTTGGATATCACTTTAACTCCTCCTTCTGAACTAAAGCCGAGGCCATATTCACAAAACACCTGCACGCTAAAGTAGCCCCTAACTGACTGAGTTAGATGAAACTCCTAACCATATGTGTGACATGTGAGTCCTATCTTTAAGAGTAATTCACAAAGTATTTCAGATATAAAAGGAGCTCCAAAGCCTGAGAGGTATCACATCTCCTGTTGCAACAACTACTTCAGGTATGTTTTACCACCTGCACGAGGATAGTTGTTAGAGATGAATATATAAAAGATAAAAAGTCTCTGAATATTGAACTTTCATGTATCAGGTGACTGTAAAAAGCATGTTACACAACAATTTAATACATTTAGTCATGAAATAAGACACTGTTCAGAGCTGATCAATGCAGAGTAAAAGAATACACTTTGTCCAAGATATATAATTGTCTCTATGGTATATTCTTGGAGAGGACCATCCTGAGAGATATATTTATATAAAATCAATGGTTACCTGCTTAAATACAAACTTTATAAGGACACATGGAAATATCAGACTATAAATATAATGACTGCTGTGCTCATCAGGTTCTGTTGACTGTGCTGTACAATGCAGCTGGATCCTCTCTAGTTTCCTGACCTCTGGTTCTGAGAAAAAAAGAAAGACACAGTATGAAACAATATAATTCCAATCATATCCCAACAATATAATTTCACAGTAATGTCATTTTAATATAGCAGTGAGGATAATGTTCCTGTGTGAAGAGCTGCTCACCTCGGGGCAGTACTGGCCCTGTTAAAGCTGACAGCAGCGTACTCAATGAATTCTTGTTGCTCCATGTGTCTGAGGGGCCGAGCTGCTCTGATGTTGGAGTAGAGAGGATCTGCCTGGTTGTTGGAGAAGTGGACCCTTGTCGACTGAAGGTCCTCCTGCTCCTCCGGCTGTCCCTGATCAGGTAGACAAACTAAATTACTTTCAGGATGTCAAAAGAGCAACATGAAGTCCTTCTCAGTCAGATGAGTTTTCTAGAAGCACTTGAAGACAGTGAGTGACTCAGCAGTATGAATGAACAGCAACCAGAATGGGTTTTCTTTTCTTCTAGAATAATATACGTAACTATTCTCAGCTGTTCCCTGTTGTCTGCTCTCTCTTCAGGATCAGAAGGTTCCTTGGAAGCCCTCTTTTTTCTGGTTAGGAGAATTAAAAAATGATTGAATGTTTTAGTTCTGACAAACTGACTTTCAATGATTTAACAAACTGATTCAGTGAAACAGAACTGCTCACCTGATCCACAGGAAGACAGACAGGGAAATGATAGCCAGGAGAACAACAGTGATTGTTCCAGCAGCTGCTAATTTCCTTCCTGCTCCTGCAAGAGAAAACACAGTTAATTTAGGTGTTACAGCATGTTTGGGCCAAATGGTCCCATAGAGTGATAAATGACAAAACAACAAAAACACTGTCCAGGTCCATGTGTACATATTACATCCATTCATTTTCTACAGGTGGAATATCTGTCAGTGCAGTATATCCTGATCAATACTGGATCTTTTAAGCCCAAAAAAATAAACTTCTCCGTACTCAGCAGTGGACAAAAAATGTAATGGAAGTTTTTTAATTACGTCTGACATATTTTTCTTACTTATTGGTGCAATATATACACCCAAACCAATCAGCAATAGGCTGATTTGATTCAATATATAGACAGACAATTAATCACTCCAAAGCTCACCTTCTCCAGGTGACCTGAAACATCTCAACTTTCTTTGCTGTAGCTCGATATTTAGACACAATCTATGTAAGATTCCCTGTGTTTTGCCGGTTGGGGGGAAGTCACAGACAATTCAGGTAAACCCTTGTTAATTAATGGCCTGATTTACCGTCTAAATATGTGTGTGTGAAGGACTTCTTCCATTCAAATTGCCTCTGCTGCTTTTCCTTGTGTAAGCTATCGTTCACACCATGTCTGCGTTGCTTGTGCATGGCAGAACATCTTGATTTTTATTTTGGTGCCCATGTTAACAGATTAGAGCGGTCACACTGCTGCAGACACAGCTGAGACATGAGTGAGGACACTTCACCAGAGAGTGAAGGTCTCCTCCTCTTTTTACCACAAGCTGCACGTGTCTGCCAGCAAAAGAGGAAAGTGAAAAGGATCTGTTGGTAGTCACAGCCACATATTTCAGTACAGTTTAAACTTCCCTTTCAAAGTAAAAGCACTGTAGTAATCTTTTATTTTTAACATGAATTCTACGGTTGAAGGGCAGTATCTTTCCACTTCGCTCTCTCCGGTTAACAACCCACATGTGACTGCTTTCTGGTTACCACTCTTCACATTTATGTTTAGACTACATATATATATATATATATATATATATATATATATATATATGGCATTGTAAATTATATGACTTAAAAACTTTGACTTCTCGTGGACATGATATAAGGATGTGTATGTGGAAACACAGGGCTGGCATCTACAGCAGCAGCTGACACTCTCTGTGTGAACGCCGCTGCTCAGTCGGCCAACGTTCGGCCCACTGTTTTGTTGCCTTGATTAACACTGCCTTGTGTATAATTGCAATGAGTTTTTTTAGAATTTGTTTTTCCGCCGGTGGTTGCAAATGAAGTCCTTATTTTAAGTTGCAATTGTTTTGTATTTACTCGTTTGTCTATTTTTTTTTTTTTCATCTGTTTCTTGCAAGCTAGCTGCTCAGGGTAGCTGTCACTGTTTAGTTCCTTGCTCAGGGTGTTTTAAGTGCAATATTGTAAAGGTTGTTTGCAGCAGTGTTTGTCCAGGGTCTATTGAATCACAAGTGGGTATATATTTGCCTTGTGAACTCTGCTTTCCCTATCCTTGTGTGCTTTTGGTTGTTTGTTTATAGTTTAGTTTTTTCCTTTTTTGTCTTTTTGTCGTGTCCGAGGGCTTAGAGTTTACGGCGCTTGTGAACATTTACCTCGGCTGCATTTAGCTGCAGCCCCTCCCCTGAGATAGGATTTCCCTGTCACTTCATTATAGATGCTTTAATCTTGTTGAACCTGGTGAAATCCCTGATTAAACAACATTTATTTTCATACACGTTAGTTTCTAACTATGTATTTATATATTTTACAATATTTCATCAAAATAGTTCATTTAAAGAACTTCGTTAAAAATTAAGAATGTTATATATTTCTAAATCTACCTCCATATTCATTTGTGAAATCCTCTGGTAGAAGAGGTGCAATAGGTGGAATAGTACGACAACTCTTACTTTATATTCTTTAAGTCCTAAGGTGGCATTATCTGTACCTATAATAAATTCTGGTAGACTCTCGTAGGACCTTACCTGGTTAGATATAGATGGATGATGCATTATATCACATGCTGT